GCTAGGACTCCACTCCTGGTCACAACAGACTCAGAGGGAAGTGGAGCCCCGAACAAAAGAAACATGCAGATTATATAGGCACAGGTTTGAGGGGTGAAGGGGGGAGTGAGGAATGAGGGAGTGGGGTACTGGTCCGGTGGTCCGGTGCCTGCTTCTTATCTATACAAGCGGCTTCAGGGGTGTTTAGCAGATGTCTGGCTTTTCAGGGCCGGGAGTAACACAATTTACAGAGACCTGACTTTCTGCACATAGCTGAGCTGGTACGAGGGAGTGAGGCACGCCCCAGCAGTCTGCATAGCTCAGGGCTGTTTTCTAAAGCAGTGGTGCAAGCTTTTGTACAGAAGCAAAAACAGCAAGCAGTTCATTATCACAGAATGTAGTTTGAGTGCATTTTTATTCTTTCAGAGGCACTGGAGTGAGGGCAGGTGCTGGGAAGCCTGGGCCGGGGAGATGTGGTCTGCGTGGGACCCTCCGGGCCTCTGTGTGTATAACAACGAAATAACAACTTTAAACTCTAACGTAAAGCTTTATTATTTATTTATTTGAGAGACTTTTGCTGTAGGGCGCGTATGCTCTCCGGAGAGACAGAGACAGAGAGACAGAAAGTGAGAAATCACCCTCCAGGGGGGATGGCCACGCCACAATCCCTTCTCCTCCATTCTCCTCTCGGGATCTTGGGCACGCACGCACACGTGCCGGGTATGAATTTCCAGCCTTGGAGTCCGGGACTGAAAACGCAGTTGACCATGTGAGAGTCCAGCGTCTTAACAACTACACCGCCTGCTGGTCCTATAAAACTTTATTTTATTTGTATTAGTTTTTGCTATATGGAGCATGCGCCTGCCAGAGACAGACAGGGGAGGGAAAGTGAGAACTCGCCCCCGGGGATGACTACACTGCAGTCCCCTCCCCACCCTCTCAGGACTCGGGACAAATGCTGCCTTTCTCGAGCTCCCGTCAGCTGTGTGGGATCCAGCTCCTCAACCTCTACACGTCCTGCTGGCCCAAGAAAACTTTGCTTTTAAATATGGCGCACAACCTACGTGCTGAAATAAAACATCGAGTCGGCAGAGAATTCACGATGCAGTCTTCTATGCGAAAACTTCTATGTGAAAGCTTCCTTCTTGATGTTCTGACTCTCTCTGCCTTTGCTGCACCAAATGCCCGAGTTCTATTTTTTTGTGGGGGGAGGCTAGGGTGGGTGATGGTGGTGGCGGGTTTCGCTACAGGGTGCATGCACTAGCTAGAGAGAGATGGAGAGAGACAGAGACAGAGGAAGGGAAAGCGAGAAATCGCCCCCCAGTGGGGATGGCCATGCCGCAATCCCTTTTCCTGGGATTTTGGGCACACATGGACACGTGCCCGGCATGATTTATAAGCCTCCAAGTCTGGTACTAGAACTCCAGTTGGCCGTGTGAGAGTCCAGCACCTGAACCACCACGCCACTGCTGCCTTCCCATCACACCCACCCCAGTTCTCGTTAGGGTAACCTAACCCCATCCTCCGGAGCGCCTCAGACCCTTTCCAGGGTCCAATCTTGTCCGTAAGAATTAGGAGGCAGAACCCATAGCCTCTCAGACCTAGACCTCTTCCAGGCCTGACGGTTCCGTTCATTGTCTAAGACTGTGCCCGTGTGAAGGCAGGGTGTGGGCGCACGCTGAGGGGCAGGCAGGAGATCTCCGAACAGGGAGGAGGGTTAGGGGCACGTACAAGCACCCAGTGGACTGGCCCAGGCAGCCCGTCCTGAGTTCCCTCTGGGTGGGACCTCCACCTCACTCCTCCTGCCTCCACTGTAGTCTAAGGGCCCCACCAGTGGCATGGTGGGTAGGGTGGCTGGATTCCACATGGCCGCCTTGCAGTGGGAGTCCCCAATTGGGGCTTGAGAACTGTGCTGGGCATGTGTGCATGCGTGTCCAAAATCTCTAGAGAAGAATGGAGAAGGGATGGCTGCATGCCATCCCCCCAGGGGGTGTTTTCTCACTTCTCTCTGTCTAGCTCTCTCCAGTGAGCACATGCGCCTTATAGCAAATTGGAAAAGAGAAACAATCAGTTCAAGGGCCCAGCACAGCGACCTCGGGTGGAAGGGTGCAGCTCTGCAGTGGGGGAGCCATGTGGAAGATCAGGGCCCCGAGTCTGAGCAGACCTGAGTACACTGGATGCCAGCTGATGATCCCAACTGGCTGGAAGGCTTAGTGGGGTGGGGGGGAAGATCGTCGAATGATACCCTGTCAAAGGTGTCTTTCTCTCTCTGTCCCTCTCAAGAAATAAACTAAAAAATGGAAAACCTCTCTCTATATATTTCATTTTATTTATAAGTATTATTCTTCTTATTTTTTAATTTGCTACAGAGCACACACTCTTACCAGAGAAAGAGAGACAGAGAGAGCGAGGGAAAGTGAGAAAGCAAGCTGCCAGGTCCGGGACTCGAACTGCAGTCATCCATGTAGGAATCCAGGGCCCTAACCACCATGCCACCTGCTAGCCCCTATATGTATATTTGTTTGTTTGTTTTAATTTGCTTACGATCTGGGGAACCCATTGTTGATGGGGTAATTCTCCTAATTCTCTGAGAATGGCAGTCCCCACTGTACTCAGAGGGCCTCATTTCCAAGGTCTTATGGCTCTCCTCGGGACCAGAGCACTCCTGACGTGTCAGTGGCTCGGCGCAATAGTGCTGCGTTTGGGGCGGGAGACCCTTCTTCCATCTGTAGCCCCCTATCTGGAGTGGCTCCTAGGGACAATATGGAAGATGGGAGAGACAGATGAAGGAAGCACACAGACACCCCCAACGGCCCCAGTCAGGTGTGACCGTGCCTTTCCCACTCACTGACTGGGACTAGTCACATGACCCAATCCTCTGCAAGGGAGGCTGGGAAATTGAAAGGAGTCTTGGAATATCTAATGTATACTAGCGTTTCTGCTGCATAACACGCCCTGTAGCAAAAACCTCTCCAAAAAATAAATAAATAAATAAATAAATAAAGGTTCTGAACTAGTCTTTTCTGAGGAACACTGCTAGGTGACTCCCACTGCCAAGGCGGCCATGTGGAATCCAGCCACCCTACCCACCATGCCACTGGTGGGGCCCTTAGACTACAGTGGAGGCAGGAGGAGTGAGGTGGAGGTTCCACCCAGAGGGAACTCAGGACGGGCTGCCTGGGCCAGTCCACTGGGTGCTTGTACGCGCCCCTAACCCTCCTCCCTGTTCAGAGATCTCCTGCCTGCCCCTCAGCGTGTGCCCACACCCTGCCTTCACACAGGCACAGTCTTAGACAATGAACGGAACTGTCAGGCCCTGGGCCAGTGAGAGGGAAAGTGAGAAATCAGTCCCTGAGAAGATGGCCATGCCTCAATCTCTTCTCCATTCTCCTCCTGGGATTGTGGGTATGCACAAACGAATGTCCAGAATGATTTTCAAACCAGCAGGTCTAGAACTAGAATCACAGCCAGCCATGTGAGAGCCCAGCATCCTAACTACCACGCACCTGCTGGCCTCCTGATCCCCATTTTACTTTTTTAAGAGAGAGATTTTTACTATGGGGCCTGTGTGCTTGCCAGAGAGATAGAGAGACAGAAAGCAAGAAATCACCCCCCAAGAGGGATGGCCACACTGCAATCCCTTCTCCTCCAATCCCCTCTCAGGCTGAGCCTCATTTGTCAATGAGGAATCTATGACACAAGGTACATTTTTTTTTTTTTGGAGAGGTTTTTGCTATAGGGAGCTTTGGCTCGCCAGAAAGACAGAGAGAGACAGAGAGACAGGAAGTGAGAAATCACCCCCCAGGGGGATGGCCATGCCTTCCCCTTCTCCTCCATTCTCCTCTCAGGATCTTGGGCACGCACGCACACGCGTCCAGCGTGAGTTTAAGCCACCGGATCCGGGAATCGAACCGTGGTTGACTACATGGGAGTCCAGCAACGTAGCCATTATGCCAACTGCTGGTCCCCAGAAACTTTTTTTTTTT